ATACTTGTTGATAGAATCAAACTCCTCATTAAGATTTAATTTTAACATAATTAAATTTGGATCTACAATGTTCTACAATAAATCATATTTTGAATAAATAATATTTCGAGTAAATATAATAAATAATTTTGAATGCATTTTCTTACCATCAGTTCTGTAGTGATTTCAGGTTCTGCCTGTACATCAAGTATTGGTAACATATCATTTTGACCATTATATGAAACACTAATATCTCTTTCTGGTTTTTCAGCTTTGTAGGCCAATGAAGTCATTCTATCTCTTGTAAATATTAATTAGCAAATATATTAAATAAAACAAGTCCAATGATTTTTTTAATTTGAAAATAAAATATTCTCGATATATAAATATATAACTTACTTTGTAACATTGTATTTTTCTGTAGCAGCTCTTTTTTCTCTTTCCATTAATGCCTGAATTTGTATTTGTAATTGATTAAATCTTTCTTTATTTTGATTATCTAAATATTTTGCATTTTGTAAAGCTTTTCTTGCTTCTTCCTTTTTAGATAAAGCAGACTAAAAATGTTGAAATAATCACTTTGTTTAAACATCAATAAATTAACTATAACACTGTAATAAATGTTTTTAAATATTACCTGTGTAAGGTTTTCAAGTTCTTTGGCGCGTAAAATAAGTAAATTTTCTTTATCTTGTAGAACTTGTTTATGAATATTAAGCTCATTAATTTTTTCTCGCCATTTTAATTTTTCTCGATTGGCAGAGGCAGTCGCCTCTTGTGCAGTTTTAATAGCAGCTTCCAACTATAATAACAAGCAATTTAATAATGAATAAGCATACAATAATAGTTTTTTTTTTTTAATTATACTTTATTTCTTTATTGTAAAAGTTATGAATGTATTGCATAATTCTTGTACCTCTATTTTTGCAATTTCACCACTATTACTTTTTAATTTACTTAAAACTTCTAATTGTGATTTTTCTGCTGCTATTGCTTTTTTTTCTTCTAGAAATAATTTTACTTATTTTTCTTGTTCTTTTATCCAAGATTCCTTTAACGTCTACAGTAATATATATAAAATAAGAAAAATAATTTCTGAATATAACTAATGATTTAAATAGAAAGTTTTATTTAGTTATACCTGTATGTAATCCCTTTCCCATTTCATTTTTTCTTCAAATAATTCTCTTTCTCGTAAAAGACTTGTTACTTTTTTCTCAAGTGTTACATGTGCTTCATTACACAATGTATTTTGTTTTTGAAGTTCAATTATAAGTTGTGTAAGACGAATATCTAATTTCTCTGTTGTTTCTACAAATCTATTATGATGTTCTTCCAAGATACTGTTTTGATGTTTTAATTCAAATTTCTGTGCTATAAATATTATAAAATACGGTAAAAATGATTTTAACTAATTCTAAATTTATAATATCATACCTTCTACAATATCTTCATGTATTTTTAAAGTATTTTCTTGAAATACCTTTATTTCATTATGTTTAATTTCTAATTGTTTTTTATTTTCTACTATATTTTCAATTATATAATTGGCTTTTTGCAACACATTATCTATATCAGTCTTTCGATTTGCCACAGTTTGTACCATATGATCCTCTGTTTGCTTAGCTTTAGATATATTTTCTATTACATTAGAATATTCCTTTTGAAGAAGTTTTACATTTTCAGAATGTAATTTACAAAATTCTTCTATATGTTGAGCATGTTCATTCTAAGTAATAAGGTTTAGCTTATCAAATTTTGTTCATATTTTAAGGAATTTGCAATACTGTATTTATAATTATTAATTTTGTAAAATATGCAACGAATGAATTTAAAAAGTTAGAAATGATACAAAAATTTTAAGTTTTATACTTAAAGTATTTAAAACATTTAACCTTTAGATTATGAATGTCTTCTTTGTATTGCTTTTCTATTTGCAATTTCTCATCTCTTAATCTTTCCAATTTTGTTATGTATTCTGTTTCTAAATACTCTACTTCTTGTTTAACTTTGTCTTCTGATTTTCTTATTACTTCTTTTAAAAATGAAATTTGCCTTCTAAAAATTAAATTATTTATTATTTAGAAATTTTACTTTAAAACATGATATAATAAATTATGTTTAATAAACATACTCATAGAATTCTGCTTGAAATGTTATTTCATCATTGTGTTTTTCATTTGTTATAGATAATTTACTTTCTAATTCTGCTTTTTCTACTCGTAATTTTTGTATTATGTTTTCCATTTCTTCTTTTTCATTTGTAAACTCTTTTTCTTTTTCATTAGATTCCGATTTATAGTTCGTATAAACAGATTTAATATTTGATATTGAAATAGGTTGTGTCATTAATGCCTTGAAAAATAGAAGAAATTTTTTCAAATTCCATTTAATATACTTTTAGACCCTAAATATCTAATATCATATTAAAAAGTCTTACATGAATATACTGATTAATGCGTTCTTGTTGCATTTTTATTTGTTTTTCTAGTAAAGCTTGTCTTTCAAATTGTAATTTTAAGAGAGCATTAAATTGTTCTTCTTGATTACAGAGCATGGAATGTTGAGTATTTGATACTGTTCCTAATTGTTCATTTTGTTGAGAAAGTATTGTTGCTGTTCTTAATTCATGTTCTTGTTGTTGCATATTCATAAGTGCATTCTGTTGATTTAATTGCGTACCAAGCAACAGTGAAAAATGTTCTGGAAAAATAGATGCAGCTTCTGAATAATTTACATTAACTGTTTTTGAATCTATTGCACTATTATTCATGACATCATGAATTTCAGTATTGTGCTTAGAAGTAGATACTTTGTCAATTTTTGTAGCTTCTTCACTTTTTGCTTCCAATGCTTTATCCTCCAATTTTTTCGAACCACCTAACCATTCTGGCAAATTTTTTTCTGTTTTAACATTTTGCATAACAAATTCTTTAGTTGACACATTTTCATTAGTTAGCTAAAAATTAAAAAGTATAATTAATGTTGCAAAATACTATCATTATTATTAGTAATATGGACTAATATTTGTGTTTGAACATATCTTGTTTCTTGCTGTAGGTACTATCTGAAGTATTTTTTTATATTACGCACACCAATGTGTGCTAAAAGAAGTGATAAATTATGTATTTTATGTTATGAATAATTAAATATAATTACCAACTCAAGATTTTGGTCAGGCAATAAATCAGCAGACAGTAAACCAAGGGGGTCATTTACAATTTTTGTACTTCTTCTACCTCTACGAGATTCTCTTGTAACAAGTTTGGTTGATGAATCAGTAGGAACAGATTTTGATTCTTGTACAATGTTTGCAGATTGTATTATATTTTCCAATTCCATTTTCTTAATATTTTTAGGAATGATGGAATTCATAGCATTGGATAAATAAGATTTATTCTCAAATAAAGTTTCTCGCAAGGATGATCTCCTTGGTTTATTATCTAATACACCTGACTTATCAATTAAACTTCCTAAAATATCCTCTTCATTTTTAGATACATTTTTCAATTTTTGTACATTTTTTTCTTTCACTAATTCAGTTTGTGATGCATCAAAATTACTCTTAGAATTTGAGTAACTGTTTGAGTTTTGTGAAAACAACTGATTAACTTCTCCTTGCTCAAAATTAAATTTTGACTCCATCTCATTACTTGACTTAATACTTGTTGTAGATGTAATTGGACTTTTAATCTTGAAAAGATCTTCCATCAGACTACTTTTGTTACCAGATGTAAATAAACTTTTCTTTTCTTTTAAGGAAGTATTTTCATCAAGTAACAAACCAGTTAACAGCTCTTCTTCATTAGAATCTATATATCAATAATATTTTTAAATAATTATTTTCATAAAATATTATTGAA